CCTTGTTACTGGGACTGAAGTGTCAGGGGATTGTTGCAACAAGGATATTTTCTCTTCCGTGTTTTGAACAACAAGACTTGTGTGATGTTATACTGCTGAAATAAATTGACTAAAATCAGAATCAGAATCAATTGCTGTATTTTTCCATTATCATTTAATAGGCAGCTATATAAATACATATTTAAATGTTTTGCGTGTAGGTGGTGCAGGGCTGTGAAAAACGGTTCTAGAAAGTATTATTTCATTTCCTCTTTCAGTAGTATTTTGCTGTGTATATTTTTAGGACTGGAAAACCCCGCACTGGGTAAGAATGACCAGCCATAGGTATATAAGGACATAAAAGATGTGTTTTGTCTGTTATTATTCCTCTTAGAAATATACTTTTTAAATTCTATGATAAACACTATGATCTAACAAGGACTCGAGGCAGCTCAATACTACATGAATATTTCAGATCGCTGCAGACTTAAGAAGATCCTGATTAGTGGAGAAACACTAGTGATTGAATACCTACTCACAGCCTGAAAGACAAATCAGTGCATCAATAGGGCAACTAAATGCATTCTGTTATGTCAAGTAGCACCACTGGAGACAGCAAATGTTATTCTTATGTATTCAGCTGTCTGCAGTTTTGAGCCTGGGGAGGCAGAGGATCAGTTTGGCCCTGCAGCAAGAGAAAAACCTGCAGTGAAAACCTTGTATCTCCAACAGATATGACAAATTAAGTTATAAGCTTTAATATTAAAGCGACATGTTTAGAGATTAGGAGGATTGTACCTGGTGGGTTGTTCCTTCGATTAGCATAGGGGTCCTCTGGCTCAGCGAAAACACTGGAGGCCATCTTGTTTTTCCGGACGGGAGGCTTCTCCTCATCTGCACCAAGTGAAATGTTGGAGCCGCCACCAGGAGGGCGCAAAACCCTGGAAAGTAAGAGATGGTGATCAACACTGTTAGTGAAAGTTGGATCGTCTGGGTGATTCTTCTGCAGCATCTTCTTGCCATTCTCAAATTATTAATAAAAAAATAACTTGCCGTGGTTCACAAAAGGGATGCACAGAATGGATCAATGAGAAATTATTGTTCATTCACACTAATGTCAATAAAGGTCAACGATCAATTTTAATTTGGGTCATTTAACAATATGCTACCCTTCAGGAGATAATGAAATGACTTTAACTGTCTATCGGATGGATCTGTTTCAACTGTGTTATTATTCCTTTAGTACCCTTTTATACAGTTATGGTTACAGACTCTCCTTCCACCTCCCTACACTTGTGTTTGAGTGTAATTCATTGCCAAAAAAAGACACAATAACAGTTACAGGTGGATTTGACTTAATGTTTTTTTAATTCTAGGGTTAGATTATGGTGGAACCTATAATTGTTATAACAATACTAATGTGTCATTATTACAGGTGTTTCTGATATTTTGTCATATTCATTGACAAACAAGGGTAGACTAAATATTAAGAACACCTCTCAGTATAATGCCATACAGTTCAACAGTACCACAAACTACAGATTCCTAAATGGCCTCTATAAGGGTAACAACAGGGTTGTTACTTTTGACTGCACTATTTCTTAACTAGTTGTGCCTAAAAAACTATGTAAACTATGTACTTGTGCTGTAGGACCCTTACTGTACCCTCTACACTATATCCATATTGAGTATTTTCTTTAAAATTGAAAGATATCACTTGATAGTGCTTCCACAGTGTGTGAAATAAATTGGTCTAATGCAATTTGTATTGTCACGCTATGATGGTATTCACCACGATAACCACATGACTTAATGAACACTAAATCCTTCAATTTTAAATATGCATTATTCCAGATTCAACATCACGGGAATGTCTTCGGATGTGGATTCCTTTCATTGCATCTCTCTGATTGAAAAATATACATGCAGCTCGGGTTATTGTCAGGTGTAGCCAGCTGTAACATGGCCCTCGCCTCAATGAGGCCATATGCTGGGCAGACGAGCGCATGTCTTATTGTACCTCACTGATCATCTCGATAACTGATCCCAAATCCAAGGCGGCCCCGCCCAACTGGAATGACAGATCTGATAAATCTGTCGTTGTCAGACAATAAACACGATTAAGTAATCAGGAAATATACGCCCCAAAAAAACTACATAAAAGGCCTACATGTAGCACTAAGGTCTGGTGCCGAGCCGCCTAGTCTGCACTTGCTAGCCAAGCAGCTTCTCCAGCTACAAAAGGGAGGGTGCATGTGTGCTATGTTGCTAGCTAGCGTTTAATAATGGGACTGGTCCATCCCAACAGACAAAACGGGAAGGTGTGGTACCGAGCTTCATCGTAGCATCGTCGTCCCGTGCTTACATGCAACCATTTCCAAAGCCGGTTGAGTAACAATTACGGGTGGGGACCAGAGCAAAAAAAAAAAAGACTTAAATTGTACGTTAACCTATGTAGCGTTGATGTTAACGCCGGAGGATGCTGGACGCTTCTTGGTAGCTAACGGGTTACAGACGGTCTGAACGACGCCTTTACCTGGAACTGCTTTTAGAACCGGGCTCCATCCCTTGATATGTCGTGGTCGTCGTCATTTTAGCGCAAAGAAGTCGTACAATATTTATAAATGTGACAGTATACACGCGAATTACACTTTCATTACCAGTACTTCACCGCCTCATCATTGTCTATCCTAGCCGGTGGTTTTCCCAATAATCAACCTGCCTCCAGTCTGAGTGGTTCGGTGTCAAGCTCACCAGAAGGAGCAGTCGCGCTTCCGGTCAAAATTTCAAAGTAAAATATGTTAACATGGCAGACCAAAAGTTGCGGCGGTTTTAAAAGCATATCCAAGTTAAATGAAATCATATCTACATTATTAATGTAAGGATTACATTATTTAGGGTTAAGGGTTTGTTCTTTATGACCCCGTATTTAAACAGATGTGACACATTTGGAGTGTAATCTGGAGGCAAAATCCGATGTATTTCCGGTCTTCCTCTGCTTAATTCCTGGGTGCTTCTCCTTAATAAAGCCCTGGATTTGACAGAGGTGCTGGTGCGACATAAACCACTGTGGAGAGGATGTTTCTATAGCCTAAGTACCGCCCACAAGTGAACAGCTCCTTCTATGATTGGATCCTGGCACATTAATCTAGACTGTGATTGGAGAAAGGACTTTTCATGGCATGCACATCCATCAGCTTTCATCATGTATTAAAACCATTGACAGTATATGATTAAAACACGTATTGTTTATTTAAAAGGTATTCAAGAACACATTAACTCATTTGAGGGTAAATTCATCTTGTCTGTGCTGGTAGCTCTCAGAAGGCCAAACTGGAAGTTTTTTTCATCTAAAGTAAGGACAGAGAGACAAATACACAAAATACACAAGACAACTTAGCATACTCCAAATCTTGTCTACAGACTCAACAAAATTTAAAGTAAAACAATTTCAGTCATGAGACAGCTGTATGAGATTAATGCAACAGTAGATGTGGCTGTGGATTCTGGGCATGATGAATGTGTGCACAACATACTGGCATAAATAAAAGAACTACTGTGGCACACCCTCTTTTCTACAGGCATGCCTTCCTGTTTGGGTCAAAGTCATGAGCCACATTCCCCTCCCTGCAATACAGGTTCTGTACAAGCACTGAGGCTGTGAATACAAAGTACTAACTTGCATGCTTACCCCACCAGGGTAAAAGAAAGAAACAAAGAAAGACATATTCACACAGCAATTTTCTGTTGTATGAGGAAGATTGGGCGCTCCTCGACAAATATTTTGGTGATTTTTTTAATTGAAAACAAGTAAACACACAACCTCTCTTATGGATCATTAAACACAATACTTTCAGCAACTACCAATGCATATTAACATCTGATATTATAAATTGAAAATAAATAAATAAATAACTGTGGCAATAGTTCTGCAGTCACAAATTACTCAATATGCTCCTTAGGCCTGAAGCATGTGAGCAACTGTGATTAGGAAGCTGATAATCAGTTGGTGCCAATTTCAAAGCTTTAGAAATGCTTTTCGAACCCTGTGCCAACACCAAAACCTTGTGCAAACACCAAAACCTTGTGCAAACACTCAGCTGTGTAAGACTAAAAATGAAAGTTACTGATGCCCATTGATGTCCACAATGCAGAAGCACAGAATACATAGAACTACGTCTTTGGAAAAAGGTGCAGCACTAAATGAAAAGAACACCTTTCCAACTGTTAAGCATGTGGGCAGATCTATCATGCTTTGGGTTTGTGTTGCAGAGTTAGAAGATAGAAGATAGAAGAAGATATATACTTTATTAAGTTAATAAATTAAATTAAATTAAATTAAGTTACTAAGTACTGACAACGTTTAAAACTTTTGCCCATGACAAAGTGTTGTTTTATTTTTGTACAGTTTATGATATAAGACATGAATGTGCATGATGGTTTGCTAAAAATATTATACTTTGTTGCATATCCTTGAAAGGTCGGGTTCAAATCTTTTCAATTAACAAAAAGAAAATCCACAAAACGCTATTTGTCAAGGGGTGCCCAAACTTGTGCATACAACTGTAGTCTGATATTTATAGCAATGCATTATAAATTAATCTCACAAAATCTCCGGTTTACTGTTGGCTAAGAAACCAAATAAGCTGTCTTGATAAGCAGTTGACCTATTTCTTTTTAATGCTGGTTTAGTTTGCTATAGCAGTGGTTTGGGACCAATACGGGGTTCCCAGGAAGAGGAATAGAATGGTTTAACTTTTTACATGTTTTTGGAAGTTTGACCACAAGAGACAAAATAAGGCTGGCTGTTTATATTGATCATAATTTATATTGATCCCATTTGATAATTCTGACTCTGAAGACTGTATCATCTTGAAACCTAAAAATAATAAAATTATCTTAAAAACCTCAAAAACCTTTAAAATGAAGGGTCTGTGGTCTAATGTGCATCTACTTGACATAAAAACATTTGGGAATCTCTGTCCTATAAGTATCCATATAACAAACCACATAGACATACATTTAAAAAAAAGACTCAATTTATTCCAATAATACATTTTCATAACATCAGATGTGAATTTAAAACGCAGGCTTACTTGACAACAATAACAAAATTCCATCTGAATCAAAACCTCAATGACAAGGTATATAAAAAAAAAGACCAAAAAAAAAAAGGAGGACCAAGGAGTTTTCTTTCAAAACTTACAGGGAAAACAGAACATCTGTCTACACAGCACAGTTCAAACATGTTAACATACGTATGACAGTGTGATCAAATCTATCTACACCAACTGTGCTGCTGCCTTTGAGCATTTTGCAAAAGTATTCCACTGGATGGTATCAACACTGGTCATGAGCATCTGAAGACTGGACATGTTGGGATGAAAAGGGGAGGTAGGGATGTTCGTAGGAAACAGTCTTTAAAGAGAAGAGCCTCCGGTTTGCTGTTGGAACACGTCAATCGTATCTTCATCCTCCATTTCTAGCTGCAAGAAAAAGTTCAAATGTCAGTTTTATTGAAGTAGTTACTGTGACAGACATGATAATTACTCAGGTTTGGAGGCCTCCACAGGAATCCCCTGTACATACCATGGCCCTATATATCACCATTAGACAGTTGTGAGTCAAACTGTGACAACAAAACACTGCTGTTTCCTGTTCAGCTTAATTTCTAATGACTAAACCAACAAAGGTTGGCTCAACAGTTACCAAAAAATAGATAGACGGGTAGGTGTTCTATGGACATGAAGAGGCAACACAGGTGCAACATGGTCCCTAATCTGTTCACAGCTGCTTAATGCCGTTTGTGAAGTCTGTCCTTTATTTCTATACCACCAGCATTGTAACACATTACATATACTGGACATGGGTGATAGCAGAGTGTGTCCACCCTGAAGACAGTCTATAATATTACTCTTTAAAAAGGCAGAATGAGTCAGATTTTCCTAAATATAATGTGTAGACTCGTAAAAAAACAGGGTATGAGTTTGGGACTCTATAAAAACAAAGCAACCAGGTTGCATCGCTCTTTCTGACTCTCTCCTCTGCTTTACATCTGTGTCATGGATGTATAAAGAGCTGCAGGTCTGTGTGACCGAGGGCCGGGCTGAGCTACACACAGAAGCAGAGCAGAGGCCACAGCAGACAGGATGAAGAAACATGACTTCGGCTGCTGTTTATTTGTGCTTAAGAACGTAGCCACCATGCAAAAATCTGAAGAAAAAAGTTTTATTTATCTGATTCTCTCTCTCTCTCTCTCCCAAATATAAATAGTGGATAGTGATATACACAAGGAAAAACCTTGTTTGGGTTTCATAAGAACTTTGACCTAAAACTTTTGCTAAAGTTCTGTTGACCACATGAAAAACATAAAAAAAAGGATAGTATTTAGTCTCTAATTCATGATACCGAAAAGTGATTCTGCACGGCCTTACCTGTGAGGGTGTGTCTGTTTCATTGATGGGCTGACCGTCAAATCGAAATCGTATTTGCCTCATTGTCAGCCCCTGTATGGACAAACAAGAAATATTAAGTTTAAAATTTTGAAAATCAACATTATAGAGCAGCCAGGTGACCTCAATGTTAAGGTACTAATAATGAACAATAAAATCCCAGGCTTGCTTCCCCGTTTCTCTCTCACTTCACTTTCTGTTGGCTAACACATGTCCCTCCAAGAAAACTATTGTATATAAAATACTTTAAGAAAGACTTGACGCTGCACAGCTATCACTTCTAAGGCAACAGGGACACGTTTTTAGAGAGCCCCACTTTCATGCTTAAAACCACCACCACCAGGTTTATGTGACAACTAGTTGAAAATATTAAAAGTAAGCTAGTGTAAAATGTTTTATTAAGGCTTGATATATGTGACGTGTGTGTCTCAATAACCTGATAGCAGTAATTCATCACAGTATGATCTATTGAAATGGGATGCACAATAATATTACATAAGTAGTAATACACAGGCAATTATGGTCTATTCAGCTGAGCTCCTGGTCTCCAGTTTGCATCTATTCAGGCCACCAGCATTGCAGTGAACATAAAGGTATAATTGTGTAGCAGCCTCACCTGCCGTTCGCAATAAGCTTTCATCAGTTTGCTGAGAGGAGTGTGCCTTTTGATCTTGAATTGCACCACTGAGCCATCCTGCCCTGCCACCTTCAGGTTGATGTGCTCATTGTTCTCTGTCTTCACTCCCTCCTGAAAGACAGAAAAACAAAAAGTTTGCAGAGAGTTAAGTTACTTTCAAAAAAGAGATTCAAGGAAACACAAGAAGCTCGGTAAAGTGTGACCTCGGGCATGTGTAATGCATGTAATCCCCCAACCACTTAACCACTTAGGGCAGGGTCAGAGGCAAGATTGATGTACAGTGTGTACTGCAATGATTAATGACCAAAGTATATTGTATTGTTACATATGTGCGCTGTGTTTCTTATTTATTTTTTAACCACCGTTACATCTGTCTGACATCTGCTGGTGAGCTCAGCTCGAAGGACTGGTGTGGTCACTGAGCACAGAAAATGGGCAACATTACAACTTCACCTTAGCATTAGCATTAGCCTTAAGCCATTCAATTGCCAATGGCCTACAACCTATAATAATGCCAAACGGCCTAGTCAGGGTGGAAATTACAACCTGCACGTTATCAACAATCCCCTGGTCATGAGACACTTGGGTGTGCTGGTAATGAGCAGAATTAAACGTTTTCATGTGATATCAACAACCAGTTAACGGTTTTTGTCGGTCAAACATTTCACTTCGGCCCGGTGCTGTTGTGCTCTGCTGTCTCTAAACGCTCCTCACCTTCCTTCGGTTCTTGCTAACGTTACCTGGACATACATCAATTATACCGTCACACATCACTAATACTGATAGCGGCATTTGAGAGGTGTTGATTAAGTGTGTTTAAACGGAGAAGAATTTTTAATTTCTTTCATACCGCCGGGGTCTGGGCTCATTAGCTTATTATGCTAACTACACCCGCTAGCCTGCTAGCTAACGCGGTAGCTCTGTGGTCTGTGCCGTTAGCCTGCCCTGTAAAAAAAAAAAAAAAAAAAAAAAAAAATTGGAGAAGAATTGGTCTCACAGGCGGCTTTGTCATCTGTAGCATTATCGCACACGGATGGGGTAAACACTGTAAAGAAGTCCCCTCCTCACCTTGGGTTTTTCGTCTGCCATGGCTGCTGCTGTGTCTGTCGGCGCCTGTTCTGCTGCGGCTGCGCTGTCCGGCGCGCCAGTTTGCGTCGGCTGGAGTGCGCACAGCTGCGCCAGATCAACTGAGCGCTCCTGCACTGTGCTGTACCAAAGGAGTGAATCCTCTCCATGCATCCTTACAGAGTCTACTTTCGTTTACACATTAAAAACATTTGCAACTTGACACTGTACTCCTACTTTACTAGAGTATTTCCATTTTATACTTACTTACTTTATACTTACATGGGGGATGTTATATGCTTCCTTTCACTCCACTACATTTATGTAACAGCAATTACCACTACAGACAAAACCTAGGAGGAGCTTATTACCTTATTATCCATCAGTACTTATTGCATTATTGCACTGATATTGGTCAATGGACACTGAAAAAAGAAGCAATAATATGCAAACAAATTTTACAAATAGATCAATCTCATTCTTTATTTTCCCATGCACAGAAATAGCTTTTCAAAAAATATGCAATGGTAAGTTCATTTAACAATCTAAGACAAATAAATAATTTTATAAGAAATATGTAGAGAATCTCCTATATAGCACTAATAGCCCCAGAAGAACAAAAATAAAGAAGTCTGTTTTTGGTGAGCCTAATGCTCTGAATTAACCACCAAGTTTTTACTAATTACATATTGCCCAAGTTTGTTATAGGAAGCCCACACAAGCTAAACATTTACAGTTGACTCCGAAAATAACAGCACCCCATTAACTTGGTTTCCATAACATGGTCTAACAGCAGGAGCAACGGCAAACCGGTGGCATTTAATTAACGTTAACAATATTCCTTTCTGCCAAAGAAAAGAAAATGTAACATTTTATAAAATGCCTGTCTGAATATTTTGTAACATTAAAGCCTTTTACACATAACTATACCGGTTTGTGCCTTTCTTATTGCAATACTTAATGTCCATCATAAGAAGAGTATGCAGAAAGAATGCAGCTGTCAATTGCAAAACATGAGATTGAAAGATTTGATGCAATCCTCCCAAACCAAAATAAATAATAATAACACATTCATGACAATAAATACTGAAAAGTACTAATAAGCATGACAAGAAAACGAGTCAAGACAAGTAACAGTATTCAGTAGTAATTGTGGGGCATACTGGAAGTCAACTGAGGGTAACCGGTTTCTTAATGAGCCGATCTGTGAGTGCCTCTTATTTAGCCACAGAGGGGCTCTTGTCTGCTCCAGTCCAGTGTGTTCAGCATAAAACACTACAGCAAATCATGTGAAATGTAGGTTTTGGTCACATGTTCAAATGACCCTGGCTTCACAATCTTCTTCAACATGTGTTTTTGCTGTATATTAAGACTGTCTGGCATCCAAAAGTGCAAGTATTCTCTATTCTCTATTCAGGTCTGACATTACTGAGGGAGGAGTAATAAATATAAACATCAAAAAGAGAGCAAAATGGTATGATAATAGTAAAAACCCCAATAATAACTTAATACTTAACATTATCAATTATTTTCCCCCATATAACCATCTTCGACATTCAGCCCCTTCACACCATTTGTTACTGCACCAAACCAACTATCTCTGGCACTGTAGTAAAGATTAAGTTGTATGTACGCTACAGGAATTTGGCTACTTCAGTGGGCCACCACAAGCAGAAAAAACTCCTTCAAAGTTTGTTAAAGTTTAAATTATATTCTTCAGATTCTCTCTAAAAGTCTTCCAGTAACGCCCCCTTCTCTTGACCTCTGAGCTGCACTGCCAAACTCAATTGTTAAAGAAGTCTCGTCTTGTCTAGTGCAGGGCTATAGAGCTCCCCATCTGTCAGCGGGCGGGAACTCATTCACCTCCCCCACTTCAGTGTGTGACTGCTCTCCCAGCGTGAATGTCAGTTTGTATCTCATCCGAACCTTTTCCTGCAAAACACATACACATGCACACACTCAGATTGGCAGCTGGAACTCACAACATCATTGTGCATTGTCAATGTCGGCAACCATTATCTCCTCAAATAGGATATAACAATACGTATGACCTCAAACATGGGTAAAAAAGAAAGTGCGCTATCAATTAATACATTACATAATGCATTAATAAAGTGTTGTATGAACACCAAAAAAGCTGCAGGCTGAGCTCTACCTTGAGAGGATTGGCAAGCAGCATGACTTGAGTGATGGCAGCAGGGGGAAGGATTGGGTTAAAAGGAGCCAGCTCTGTCCCTGAGGGTGGTTGCAGTTTCACTTTCATCACCTGTAGAATCAGCAGAACAGACATCAGTGTACATTAAACAGAAGTAACAACTCCCTTTAAATTTAATTTTCAGGCAAATATTTAATTTAATGAGTTAAATTATCGGCCGAAATTACTATGTTGCATCCTGTGCAGTAATAGTGATATCACGGAGGCACAGCAGCTTTTACCTTGGGCACAGCAGCCTGCAGAACAATGTTCCTGACAGGCAGCGGGGCTGTATTAAGCATGGATGCCACCATCACCAGTACATCAGGTCTGCCAACTGGACAGTCAGTGGCGAAATGCAGCAGAACGCGGACCCCGTTCTTGTCATATGCTGTCACAGGACACACTTGACCTTAAATACAGCAAACAAAGGGGGGAAGGGTGATTACTAATCACTAATTAGCTAATGTTCATTTGACAACAAGTGTAGTCTTCACAAACACACCACTGTTATTGCTCCTGATGTAATCTCTACAAAAGACATGTCCTTTCTTTTGCACATGCTTTGATAATTACTGTCAGCCAACAATACAAATGTTTACAGTCAAGACCAAGCTTACTTGGGTAAAGTATCACCCAGTGTCTTTGCCAGTTTTATCAAGTTTCCCACTGTCACCACAAAGTGGCAGCAATGTCTAAAGTTGAATTTACCAACCACCAACCAATCTTAAATATGGAGGAAGGTTTTATTTTCTGCCTGACTGCTGGCGGTAACTTAATTACCTGCACTATAGAGTCATGAAACTCCACTCTGCTTTTATTTATCTCTAATGCGATTATCCTCTCTGCAGGGTATCTTAACAAGGTTTAGAGATCAGACATAAAGCTGTTGTTGAAATGGCAACCAATTACTAGAATCATTGTGGTTAACAAAAGGTATAATATCCCTATAATGCCTGCTATTTTCAACTTTTGAGGATATAAAGCCTGCTTGTCATGTAGTAGAACTGTTATAAACGCTATGTAATCTGTGCACAATATAATCTGTTATAATAGATTTTTCGTCAAATGAGAATAAATGTCCTCTACAGTATGTCTGCCCTGCTCCAGTGCTAACTGCATGGAGAGAGCTCTTGCAACCTTTTACATAACCAAAGGTTTTGGCCTTTTCAGTCAATCGTCATTTTTTAAAAACACGATTGATCCAATCTTTTACAGTTCATTCACTTAAATTACAAAAATGGCATGAAGAAATTAGACTCAATGTCCTTCCTTGTCTCAAATATCAAAATCTTTACATCAAATATCTGTTCATCAACATTTTCCTACATAATATTATTAATAAAATCATCCTCATAAAACACACGAACAAAAACACAAAGCCCATTTCATGGAACTCACTTGGCTTGATGCTATCCAAAGGGACAAAGACATTGGCCAGGGACACCTCTTGTCCCATGCCTGGACTGACTTGGCTCAGAGGGAGGATGGGGGACAGGGAGCGTAACAGAGGACTGTCATCTGCCTGACTCTTGGCAGGAGGGGGAGTGGACCCTTCTTCCATCCCTCCTAGGAGTGAGGTGGAGGTGACACCAAGACTGGAAGACAGCGCAGCCGGAGCTAGCACGTCCTCACTCTTGATCACCATGCTGCCAAAGTCCATCACACTGGGTGTACTGTGTGTATAATTAAAGTTTCTTTGTCAAAGACATTACCGGTTTACATAAAGCTTAAACTTGTAATGACAGAAATAAAAATTGATAACAAGATGACAGACGTAGGATGAAAGAAATGCTGCCTGACATTTTAAAACAAGCACTGTGCAGTCAGGTTTTGTAATTAATAATTAGTGGAATGCATTTGGTTAAATCAAAACAAAACCTCAACCACCTGACATCCAAATGAGTGGCAGCACTACCACTTTAAAAAGGATCAGTGAAAAACTGCATTTTTATTAGATCGAGACAATACAAACATGCTCTGAGGTTTAAAATTTAATTTAGATAGTATTCTAAAAAAACATTCACCATCTACTCTGAGCGACGTTGCTTAGTTACAGTACTCAATACCCTGAACTTTAAGTCACTGCAGGCTAACCTACGGATTAGTTTGTATCAAAAGTTAATGGAATTTAGCAGATCAATCTGCCATTTGGAAATTAGTGATTGAGAGGCACTTGAAATGTCATATGGCAGAACAAAGAAATCACTGTTAAGCATTTCAGTGGGCAGAAGTGCCTTTAAACTTAAGTGCTTAGACACCTTACACATTGTAATTTTAAAAAGAAATGCATAATTTACTGAAATAATTTAAAAACATAATCCAGCAGCATCCAAGATATTATACACAAAGATCAGCACTGATCCATATTTCCACCCCAGTTTTACCTCGAGGCGCAAGTATTACTTACGTTTTAGGACTGCCCAGATCCAGCAAGGCGAGATCTTGCACATTGTTACTGAGAGACGCTGAAGGCTGTTGTGGTGCAACAGGGATGGCTGATGGTACGGATGAGGTCATGCTGAATGACTGAGGAAGTGCAGCTGAGACCGTGGTCAATACTGAACTGAGGGACTGTGGGAATATGACTGCTGTCGTTGAGACAGATTCTGTAGAAACCGGAGGTGTGGAGAAGACAGGGCCAGGGAAGCTCAAGGCAGAGGCAGTTGTAGAAGACTTGGTTAGGGTAACTGGGGCACCTGTCACAGAGAGGGTATCTGGAAAATGTGAAGATGTAGAGAATGCAGGAACCAAAGGCGAAGTGGTGTTAAAAGGATCCAAATCTTGACTGGAATCCTGGAATACAAGGTAAAAAACTGACATTACTAATAAGATAATACTTGGCATCAGTATAAATTATTGCATTTAATTTAAATACCTGTAAAGATGGCAAAGGATTGCTCAGGTTTACAGGTGTAGGTGTGGATTTACTTGGAACAGGTACAGGTTCACTGAGG